CCACATACCTGGTGACCTTGAAGATCCGCAGTAGCCTGAGGGCCCGGAGCACACTGAAGCCGAACGAGTCCTGCTTGAACTCTGACCAGATCACCTCGAATATACTGCCCACGATTACCTGGACGGACACACGGACACACGGACACACGGACACACACAAAGACAGACACGTCAGTCCGGTGGGCAATGATGATGATGAATGATGATGATGATAACGACGAAGATGATGATATTTAAGAGTTATCATAATCATAATGTCTGACAAGGACCAATGCATCCACAGAGGTAAATTTTTCTCAAGCGAAATAAAGAATCAAAGGACCAGGTTAAGATGATTTATGGCTTCTGCTTTGATCGATAAGATCAACTCTGGCAGAAAAAAGCTTGCCCCATTTTGAGCATATTCAAGTCTCCACTTCCACTTGTGGGTGTGCTCAGCTCGCGGGCTTTTCTCTTGGTGTCCGAGTTTCTTCTTTCGTGAAGCCTCGTGTTATAACCTGCTGCCCCCTGAGCCTGCTGCTCTCCAGCTGGGTCTGTCAGGGGATAGGCTCTCCCTTGTCCAAGGATTTCTGTTGGAGTCCTTCAGAGACATTTTTTGGGGTGTGTTTGTAGTTTTTTTTAACGTCAAAGTGGAAAAGAATTATAGTTTGTTAATGATTCTAAATGACCTAAATTGTGTCGATTTGGGTGCAGCTGAAGTGGAAATTTTAGTTTGGGTTCTAAATCAAATGTTGTGTGGGATTCCCAATAACCAATACAGGTTCAGAAACTGAAACATACCATCTCTGTATTTCATTGTCAGTTTTCTGAATTCTTGAGATGAAATGGGTTCGATAGACCAAAATACGCGCAAATTCTACCTGGAGATGGGGAAAAAGATTGATTTTTCTTTTCTTTCGTAAGAGTTTTTACTTCATTTGCAACACAATAAGGTCATATAAGTGCCGGAGATTAGAGGTGTTACAAGAGAGTAACAAACACAAAAAAGAAAGGGGGGGGGGGGGGTAAAGACGACAGATATTTGATAGGAAAGAAGGAGTAAACCACACCAGAGCATCCGCTAGCAATCCACATTCTTGAGAAGAGATAGGTTCGACAGACCAAAAATACGCACAAATTCTCCATTGAGATTTGGAAAAAGATTGATGAAAGGTCATTGCAGGTACTCACCACACAGTCGAAGATGTTGAAGGAAGACTGGAAGTAGAGGCGCACACCCAGGGCGTACATCTTGAGCGACATCTCGAAGATAAACAGACCCAGGAACGCATACTCGGTGATGTCTGGGGGGTATAGGGGACATCATGAGATGTGTGTGTGTGTTTGTGTGTGTGTGTGTATGTGTGTGTATGTGTGTATGTGTGTGTATGTGTGTGTGTTTGTGTGTGTATGTGTGTGTGTGTATGTGTGTGTGTATGTGTGTGTGTTTGTGTGTGTGTGTGA